CTCTTCCCATTTCTCACTTTCCCAGCTTTTTAGGAGACAGGAGTCATACTCCATGTTTCTCTTTACTTTCAGGGCTCCCTGTGTCTGTAGGTTGAATTAATCTTCTGCAAGCACAGGGGAGCAGCCCAGAAGAGACCGGGTGAGAATTCACAGGTACTACAGTGAGTAGTAAAACCACTTTTCTGCCTGCTGGAAACACCTGTCTTGGAGCCGTGTCAGGGCTACTCTGCCTTCTGCCAGAGGTCTTTCACCAGTGCATGGTGTGCTCAGCTAGGACACCTAGATCTTTCTGTCTCCATCATCCCAATGACCGAGCTCCCAGCTTGTAGAATTGCAAAGTCTCACTCCCAGGCTCACTCCCAACTACCACTTTTACTACTCATTTTGGTCCCATTTCTATAATTCCCTTCCCCAAGTACTTTCCACACAGTGCCCCAAGCACCCCTCAAATGCGTAATGTATTCAAACAGCAAATTTAATCATGAAGTAGATGGAAAAGAGCATTTTGTATTGCCCCCAAAGCTGCAAGTTTTCTTGAAATCCCCATCCACTACCTGTTACTTCAATCAACCCTCTGGTTTAGGAACTGCATGTTTGCAGCCAGCACAACCCTTTCACACGTGAACATATGCTTAGAATCTCGCACCCCATTGCTTTGTGCCACAGCAGTTTGTTCTAGCACATCTTCTGACACCTCAGTCTTTAAAGATAATCCCTCGTCATCATTACTAATGGAAAAGCAAGCCGGTGGTAGGTGCATCCCTGACAGTGAAAGGTGATGTCAAGAAATTAAACTTGCCCAGAATGCACTTATCTTCCCTCTTTCATCTATCGATCCCTACCAGCAGGGCAGAGGCAATGAAACCGGCTGTTAATTATAGAAAGACTGCCTTCTTCCAAAAAAACTTAAGCTATTTGGGTTTTGAATGCTATTTTAGCACTATTCTCGCTGCACATTTGGACTCCTTTATTGATTTTGATGGGATAAGTTTCCAAATTTTTAGGAGGTCAGGTTGGTTTAAGGAACTCCTTGCATCTCAGTACTTGGTCACATTGTTTTACTTCTGAGTTTAGGGCTTCATTTAGAGTTTTTAATTACTATTTTAACAGTGTATTTGCCATTCTCATGCTATCTCCTGAAACTGCACCCGAAAAACCTTGGATGCTCACACTGCACACAAAACCTTACCTACTACACAAGGTGTGTACCAAGATCAAGCATTCGGTACAACCTCCTTGGGCTTCCCCCTAGCATTAAGGCGAAGACCCGTACAGTAGAAACAACTGTTTTGTACAAAGACCCTTTGAAGAGCAGAATTCGACCGTTACTGCAAAACAAAGGAGGTTCTTGAACTCTCTAAGCTGGTAGCAACCGTTTGAATCGAACACGCATCCCGTGCCCTGCCTCGTATGGGCAGAGCAGCTCCAGCCAGCCTGCTCTCTGCTGAAGGGCATCCCTGTGGCGGAAAAGAGAGAACACAACCACGTCAAGGCAATTCAAACAAAAGCCTTAATTTAGTAAAACTGCCTAAACGCCGTCTTTTGAGCACACCACTGTGCAGATGGCCCACTGTCAAAATGCGTCTCTCTCTCCACTAGCTGAAGGGTAATAGCCTGAAAGTACTATTTGAGATGATGAACTTGACAATATCCCAAGGTACAGGTCGCAGGCCCATTTGTGTCTCGAGGCTCTGAAAATCTGCTCTGTCTGTGAAATCATTACGGCTGCAAGTGCTTGCGCCTGGGTGGAAGCCTGCCTCAGCCTACCAGCACACGGCAGCTTGTTCTTCTGCGGCTCCACGGTCCAGACTGCACCTCGGGGATGCTTAAAGCTAATTTATCATCCAGCTAGGCGCAGCACGGGCTTAGCAGCAGAAAAGGCTGACATCTCTGCTTTGGCACAGGGACTGCTTTGAAGCTGCTGTCACAGCTTAAAAGGAGAAACCGAGCAGCAACAGAGGCTTGTCTGCATTTTCAGGCTTGGAGCCGGAGCACACAAGGGCGTCCAGGCACATGTCCAGCCCTGCCCTCACACTGCCGCCCAAAACATTACAGGCTGCTGCGTACTGCTGCTGGAGCCTTGCAAGACGAGAACCGGACTAAAACTCTTCCATCTACTCTTCTTCCATGCAAAAAATCCAGCTAGGAGAGAAATGGGGAGAAAGGAAGCAGCAGGTTAAAAGGCCTGGCAGACCGCATCAGAACAGTGATGACCAACACAGGGCAGGGGATGGAAGGTCCTGAAGCAACTTCTCAGATTCAGACAAGTTTCACACCTGGTTTTGTGAAACTGGTATGTGGGCAAATCTCCTCTTCCGAAAGTTTTTGTAAAATTACCTGAAGACAGCTTTCTACCTCACATTCCCTGTCAGACAGAATACCTGCAAACTAAACACTATTTTATGTTAAGTGGCGGAGATCAACAACATTCACACACAGGAACTTCACACTCGCTGGGCTCTACCTGCGCCGTAACTCCTGCCAGGTGAGAGGGGAATTGCTTGAAAAAAAATCTCAGTGCTTCCATCAGAAACAGGCATGTTTCCCGCCAGTACCACAACGTACTTCTGCACTCACAAGCACTGTGAATCAGGTAAAATCAAAGATGTGTCAGAGGTAATTTCAGCACCTTTTTTATGTAATTCCAGCAAATGATGGTACAGGTCAGCACTGGATTTAGTCATGGAAATAATGAATGTTCGGGGTTGGAAGGGACCTCTGTGGGTCATCCAGTCCAATCCCCCTCCCGAAGCAGGGTCACCTACAGCAGGCTGCACAGGACCTTGTCCAGGCGGGTCTTTAATATATACAGAGAAGGAGACTCTGGGCAGCCTGTTCCAGTGCTCCGTCACCCTCAGAGGGAAGAAGTTCTTCCTCATGTTCAGACGGAACTTCCTATGCTTCAGTTTGTGCCCGTTGCCCCTTGTCCTGTCACTGGGCACCACTGAAAAGAGTCTGGCCCCATCCTCCTGACACCCACCCTTCAGATATTTATAAGCACTTATTAGGTCCCCTCTCAGCCTTTTCTTCAGGGTGAACAAGCCCAGCTCCCTCAGCCTTTCCTCATAGGAGAGATGCTCCAGTCCCCTCACCATCCTTGTAGCCCTCCGCTGGACTTTCTCCAGTAGCTCCTCATCTTTCTTGAACTGGGGAGCCCAGAACTGGACAAAGTACTCCAGAAGGGGCCTCACTAGGGCAGAGTAGAGGGGCAGGATTTGACCTTCAGTGGGCACTACCACTTCACAAGATACTCGCAGCAGCCCACCAAGCCTACTTTACTTTGAATTTGCCAGAGTAGTATGAAATACTCTTCTGCAGACTAAGCACATATATACACCTTGACTGTTTTACAGGAAGTGTTTAAAGTAAGCACAGCATAATTAAATGCCACACAGTGAATCTACGTTGTGTACTGCAGTCTTAGACAAGGCTGTTTCTAGCTATCAAACATTTTTATGTCTTTTAGAGATGGAGATTAAAATGGGCTTTAACATAATTGGAAGCAATGATCTAATACTTTCAGCTTAAAAGCAGCATTATTGTAGCTATAAAATAGGTGAGAATGCATTTAAATGCTGAATAGAACAGGTTTTTAACTCCTGCTCAGGTTAGGGTACTAGTGTGTTTAAAAGACACACTATTTTTTGTAAGTGTATATAAAACCACCAATGACATTAAAAATAATAGCCTCCAAGCCCCTTAAAAATGTTCCAGTGAAAAACTTAGGAAAATAAAAGTTTTGCCTGGATCACATGGTTTAATAAGAATCAAACAAATGGTACAAATTTCTCAAGTCATTTATATTTGATAGAAGTACATATACACTGTGTGGGCACTTATGAATATAGAAATACCCCCCCGCCTGCATCTTCTTTACCATCAGTTCTTTAAATGTAGTATAAGAACATTTTACTGAATGCTTATGTACGAGGCATTACAGAAAAGCATTATAGTAAGAAAGCTTTGTATTTGAACCAGATTTTGCTACTCATATTTAGGGCTTTGCTTGAAGCCAACACAACCATCAGTAATCACGAGATGCGAGACAGGCCTGCTGTCAAACTGCACAGCCAACATCCCACCTCAGCGGCTGGTTCCAAGGAGAGAAAAAGGGTAAGAAACGAATACAAACCAACTGTCAAGAAATTTAGTGGTTCATAATTCATTTTCAACCTGAATGAGAATAATGAAAACAAGTTACACTGCAGCAAGCCAGTATCAAGGTTAAACTACGGATTTCTTGCCCACCCTCTGTGAGCAGAATTAGAAGCAACTATTCAGGTTTAAACCCAGGAAAAGCAGGGAGGTGTATACAGAGACTTAGCCTGTAGTTCTGGAAGTCTCAGTTTCAGGTGGAGGCCTCCACAGAGTACCGAAACATACCTGACTGGTATAATTCAAAGATTCCACACAAGATACAAACTTGTCTCAGACTGGAAACAATTCTAACAAAACTGAGCCCAGGCTTGACAAGCCTCTAATCAGGCCCCCGAAATCTGTAACACCCAGTGAAACGTCACTGCTCACTGGCTTTACCGCTAATGTCCGAAAACTCCCAAAACTCATCACATCTGAAATACCCTCAGGTTGCTCCACTGCATTGATCTGCCCTGATACTTCGCAGAATACAAAATATATGCACTAGTCCTCATCTGGAAGCCGCAGGCACTTCCAAAATGTTTTTATTCGCATAAATATAGGTATCTAAAACTGGTCATAAATGACTTCCTGGAAGTTCTTTTTACTTCTTTTCATCAACAAGAAGCGGATCCTTAAGTGACTAGACTAGATCTTTGTGTTCAGAAATAATCCGAGGAAATCTACACTAAAGCCGGAAACGAGCTAGAGTTTGGTCCAAATGCAGATCCACACCAGAGGCTGCTGTGGTAAGAAAGGGATCTGGAAAGTGGAGGTAGACCGACTCCCAGTTCCAGATGTGTATTGAGGGACCAGAGTGGTGGTGGAAAGACCCATTTATAATGAAGCAAGCGACACGCAGACAGTTTTCTTCAGTTTAATATCAGGTGCTGTTATAAACTGCTAAAACAAGACATCTTCACATTATTACACATGATGCACCATAAAACAGGTTTATGTTACAGTGTAAGATTCAATATTACAAAACTTGCAGAGAAGTTCACACAGATGTCTTAATTTTTTACCCCTTTTATTCACATCCAAATCCATTAATTCTTATCTGTGTACAAAGGGAGTATTTTCCACCATCTTCTATGGCTGCTTTCCAACCAACCAGTTCTAAACATCAATACCAACATCAGCAGGGGAAAATCAACTACAAAATGCCACCACGGTCATTTGCTCAAGACACACACACTTCTTGCTGGATAGCCGGCTGGGGAATTTTACTGTCCTCTGTCTTTTCCTGCCCAGGAACTTGGCACACAGTCTTTCGTTTGAATAACCGGAGACTCAACCGTAACAAGTCACTGTCCATTGCCGCAGAATTTGTGTAAGTTTGCTTTGTTGCACCCTGTTGACATGAAAAATTATTTAAGAAAAAGGAAGAAGTGAAAACAGTGGCTTTTAACGTGCAAGCTGAGAAATTAACCTCAAGTGTGCTCAATAATTAGGCGTTTAATCATACATATCCACTAGAAAATACTTTGAGAATTAATGATTTTTCTATTAGCATGCAAGACCATAAAACCTACTGTAGTGCAAGAAATGGCAAAAGTATTTTTACTTTCAATTTTGAAAAGAAAATTATCTAGGTACTTTTATCTTGAAAGAACAGAATCTTCTAATTCTTCTAAAGTACATGAAATCTTAAGCAAGAGAACTATTCAACCATTGCCTTGAAATTGTACTTTAACCAATTCTTTTTATCACGTATTCTCTACATACAGAAAGTGTATCTCCAGAATTTAAACCCCAAAATAAGAAACAGCACCTACCTCTAGTCTCAATCTTAAATTAATCTTTCATTCTAAATAAAAAAATAAAGACCCTACAATCTCTTTCAATAAAAGTTTGTTCTCTGTTATTTAAAGGACTAAGTTTGCTCCAGAAGAACAAACAACAAATCCAAAAATAATCTCCCTAGAGAAATGTTTTGCACAGTAGAATCTGCATTTCCATATTTTGACTGAGAACTGTAAACAAACCACTTGCCTTTTCATTCTTCATAAGCTGCTTACGGATTGCAGAGTCCCTTCGAAAGCACAGCGCTTTACAGCAGGGACCCAGGTTACTGAGAAGACCTGCTCTCTCTTCTTTTCGTAGAAGCGCAGCCATGTTTAGGGCCCCCAGTTCATGTTCAAAAAGGTTTTCTGCATCTAAAAAGAATTGATATATACAGAGATCAACATATACGTGGTATTTTGGAACAGCAATACACAGTACTATGAAATATTTCTCCCTTCTAAACAATACCTAGGTTTGGAAAAAAAGGATTTGCAGTTTATAGAAAAACACAAATAAATCCTTCACCATTTAAAGGGAAGGACGGGTACCCTTATATGTAGCTTCAGCACTGGAAAGCAATATTGAGACAGCAATCACTGAGAGGCCTAAAAATCAAGTGACAGCTCTCAGATAGAAGAGGGGATATCACTTACGATCAGACATGTGACGAAAGCTGTTTACTACTAGCATTGACCAGAAAGTGGTCTAAATTTCACTTCTCTCTAAGGCATAGGATAACTGTACCAGTGTCAAAACAGGGTTTGTATGGCTATGCAGAAGTGAAATATGACTGTGTGGAATAATTCTTTTATCCATGGTGGATGAACCTGGATAACAAGTCAACAGATGCTAACGAACTACCCCATCCTACTGGCTCATTTAAAGCCTTTGTTAATAGTACTCAAAGCAGCAGGATTAGTCCTTTAATACATTTACCAAAAGAAACAGCATGCAGCTAGAACACTTTAACCAAAGACAGCTCCTGAGGTGAGACTTATTCTGTGACATCTTTTTTCTATGAAATGTAGACAAAAAGAGTGCATGTGGCTGGACTGCAGCTCATTGATTTATAACCCTTTTACAATAAATAGGAAGATTATGGTATTATTAAAAAACAAAACAAAATGCAAAAAAATGGCAAGGTATGGAGCTAAGTCCAATCCAGCCACCTCTATATAGTAAAACACTTGGTGTTTAGCAGAGAATTTAAGACCTAACTATAGAGACACCAGCAAACCTGGGGAAAATTTAGCAGCTAAAAGCAAAGACTGCTACAGCAGTTTGGCAGAACGCACACAGAAGAGAACAAAGACGCATTTTTAAACCACTCGGTGAATTTGTGGTGAAGTCGAGTCAGACCAGTTTTCAAAGGAGGTGAAAAGAAACAACAAAGTTACATGAAATCCAGGGCAGGTTAAAGAGAACTGCACTGAAGTCATCAAGACAACCTCAACGGACAATCAACACCACAAATAAGTGACAAGACATAAAAAGGTCACTTCAAAGGCCACTTGTGTCCCTCAGGGTTCAATTCTAGGGCCAGTCCTGTTCAATACATTTATCAATGATCTGGATGCAGGGGCTGAATGCACCATTAGCAAGTTTGATGATGATACCAAAACTACATTTATCAATGATCTGGATGCAGGGGCTGAATGCACCATTAGCAAGTTTGATGATGATACCAAAACGGGAGGTGCTGTTGACTCTCTTGAGGGACAAGACACCTTGCAAAGGGATCTAGATAGATTGGAGCATTGGACTATGATTAATGGGATGAAATTTAACAAGTCCAAATGTTAGATTCTGGACCTAGCATGGTGTAAGGCCAGGCATAAGTATAAACTGGGAGAGGAGTGGCTGGAGAGCAGCCCTGCAGAAAGGGATCTGGGGGTGCTGGACAGCAGCAGGGTCAATAGGAGCCAGCAGCGTGCCCTGGCAGCCCAGAGGGCAAACCGTGTCCTGGGCTGCGTCAAACACTGCATAACCAGCCGGTTAAAATTGGTGATTGTCCCGCTGTATTCAGCGTTGGTGCGGCCTCACCTGGAGTACTGTGTGCAGTTCTGGGCCCCACAGTTTAAGAAGGACGTGAAAGTCCTCAAATGCATCCAGAGGAGGGCAACAAATCTGGTGAAAGGGCTCAAAGGCATGTCCTGTGAGGAGTGGCTGAGGACTCTGGGCTTGTCTAGTTCGGGAAATGGAGGCTGAGGGGTGACCTCATTGTTCCCTGCAGCTTCCTGAGGAGGGGATGCGGGGAGGGAGGTGCCGAGCTCTTCTCCCTGGGATCCAGTGATAGGACATGTGGGAATGGCTCAAAGCTGCCCCAGGGAAGGTTTAGACTGGACACTGGGAAGCATTTCTTTACCAACAGAGTGGTCAAACACTGGAACAGGCTTCCTAGAGAGGTGGCCAACGCCCCAAGCCTGTCTGTGTTTAAGAGGCTTTGGACATTGCCCTTAACAACACGCTTTAACTTGGTCAGCCCTGCATTGCTCAGGCAGTTGGACTAGATGATCGTTGTAGGTCCCTTCCAACTGAAAGTCTATTCTGCCCTATTCAAAAGGTAGTAACACTGACAGCTTGTAAAGTCTGCCTGTGTGCCAGATGCTGAGCATATCTGGCAACTAAGCATGTCCATATCCTTAAAGGAAACAATTGCATATACTAGATAGAGAGTAAGTTACCCACAAATCTCAATTCTATCACTCACTACAGGCTTCTGTTTCCAAAGGAAATTAATTAAAAAACCCAACCCCCAAAACAAGCTATTGTTTCCTTTCTGTCTGCATTTCAGTGTATTACCAGAAACTTTTCATCCACAAATAAAAACAAAGAAGGGAACACCAAACTCAGGAATAACACATGGAAACAAGGTATACCACCATGAAGAAGTCCAATGTGAACACACTGCATTTTCACTGTAAAGCACACAGAGTATCTAGCTCAAACTCAGCAGGGCACCGTATTTGTGCTTTTGTTTAGAATACACGTGCTGCAGCTATGCAATCACTATACAAGGAACCTTAGCCTAGCAGATTACAAAGGAAATGCATACACCTGAAAGCCTACTGGCAGTTCCACATGTAGCAACTTTGATGTGTGAGAGACTGTACACACCACAGGGAAATCAACAGATGCACTTCGACACCCTCTCCTCTCCAGAGCAAAGTTCCACTGACTCTGAGTACACTTAAGACAGCCCAGATGCAGTGCTGGAGAGCCTCCTATTATCACCACTCCTCTGGACTTTATTTATTTTTAGAGAAGAATGCAAGGACTGCTGAGGTTATTCCGGCTATCACTTTAAATAGTCGGGTGGAGTGATTCTGCACTGCAGTTCCTGTTGCAAGGAATCCCTGATAAGAAGCATTGAAGAACACAGCAAAATTTGAAGCTTAGAGGGACAGAGATATAGTTCATACCTTACTGTATCAGAGAGTTTGCAAACTGAGGAAGACTCATTATGGTATTAATTACATCAGTTCTGTGAATTCTTAAGCATAAGAGTTGAGATTTTTTTTAAAACTAGAAGACAGCTAATGCTGCATAGAAAGAGCTGCAAATATTGCAGTGGGATGCTTACAGTACTTAATAACACCAAGTACACACCTCAAATTACACCTTCTATGATGCATTAAAAATGCTTACATTTAATCTGACTTTAAAAAAAGCAGAAGCAGTAGCAACAGACCATGATTAACAGTTATACAATTTAAATGGCTCAAGCAAGCAGTGACATTCACGGAGATTAACAGGGTTGGGAGACATAAGTTAATTTCTTTTATTCCTCCCCACTTCTCCAACACTGTGACGTTAACAAGACAACTGCATGAAAAATACTGTTGCAAAGAATTAAAAAGTATTGTTTCAAACTAAGAACTAGAAATTACAGAGGAAAAAAAAAAGGGGTCAGAAAAATCCGCTATTCCCCAAAAACAGAGGCTCCGCAGATACTATTGTTTGTAAGCGATAATTTTCTCACATTTACATCCCAGAATAATTTGCATACAGATCTTATAGAAAGCAAATGTTTCATAGTCCTAAAAACCCAATTCTACCATGCAAGTTGTTGCAAGTAGCATTCTCTCTCATGCAAAAACCCTGCTTACACTAGAGACCTGTAATAAACAGCACTGGCATAGCTGATGACCGTCCTATCTATCACACATATTTTATGCCACACACTTTGTCTAAATGCAAGACTTGTACGTTATTTAATTTCCCACTCCTAGCAGAGACATAATATACAAACTTCACTGAGCTCCTTCATTCTGACCCAAAATCCTATCTATGCATTCTGGAGAGGATCCTCAGAAGGACAATAAGATGACATGTAGAGGATCCTTGGAGAAAACAATAAATCTTCTTTCTTTCTCACAATATTACTGCAAATTCACTGCAGAAGATATTTAGCTCTCAAAAAAAGAGCTGACACACTTTAGGCCAGCAAAGCATGAATGATCTCAAAGAATATTCTACTAGGATGAAAAATTTTGTTTTTATTCAAGACCTCCTCACCACTGCTGGAATTAAAACACTAATTTGATTGACATGCAGCTGTATTACATTCCTGTAATGTTCAGATAATACTCATTATACACTTTCTCTGGTCTTGAAACCTAAAATAATGAACTAATGCACATTTCATAAGGACATTCACTAAGTACAGAAGACAGCTTAGTTCCCGCAGAAACAATTACCTTTAGGTTTTTCTAACACTCTCTGGCAAGTCTCTTTGATTTTGGTGAAGAGTTCTGGTCCTGCCAATCGCTTAGAAATGCCAACTCTTAACATAACAGCACCCGGTGTGAATTTTAAGAGCGCAGCCCCAGGCTCCCGTGGTTCTTTTGGCTGCTTTGGCATAAGACTGGACCAATCTACATCTATAACATCCACAGGATCTGCAAAAACAGCGACAGAGTGAGTTATCACATCATCATCCCTTACCACAATTGATTAGTTTTACATGTTGTGTAAATCCCTGTCTCCTAAAGGCAATATATATGAGGTAAACATTCTTCTGCAGTTCTCAAAGCAAGATCCTTGGACACTTCAGGTAAAAAGATCAAAACTCACTTAGACTGGTGGAAAAAAGGAGCAGACAAATATAAAGCTGTCTGGATTAAAAAAAACACCCATAATATTCTGCTTCATTTTTATTGTAACCCCTTTGCGGAAGGCTGCTTGGACCTTGCTTAGCCAGCAGATTTGGACACATCACTTATGTATCCACAAAAGTCAATTAAATGCTTGAACAGCTAGTATTTCAACTCTGGATGCTGGATGTTTTTTTTAAAGGAGAGATATATACTATTTATTAAATAACCATACAACTGTTTGTCTAGTACGTTTAGCATAGAAAATACGAACACTGATCGTATGGCCCAGATGACCCAACTGAACTTACAACAAGTAGAAGATTCCATGCTTCCCAGTGCATTTAAGAAGCACTCAAGTACAGATAAAGTCTGTTGATAAAAATATCAGTTCCAAATAACAATCAAAACCAAACAGGGTAAATGAAAACATGTTTATAAAAACAAAAAGCTTACCCTTCTAGCTATATAAAACAAGATAAATTACTTCACAATACAGCTCCCAGTACACTTTACTTACCTCTAGACTTCTCAGGCTTACTTGACTATTACACAGAACAAATGAGAAATACTGAAGAGCATACAAACTGCATTCCTCATTTAGAAATACTGTCAACATCACAACACCATTACATGTAAACTGATCTAATCTTTATATTCAAATAATCATAAAGGGGTTTTGCTATACTTTTACCAGGCATCTTCTCATCCTCCTGTTGATCCTCCCGCTTTTCAGCATCACCTGCCAGAATTTCATCCAGTTCATCATCACTGATTGGCTCGTATTCTCCAGCACCAGATCCCAGTGACTGTATATCATCAATCTTTGCTTCATCTTCTCCTCCTACAGAGACAGACACATACTGTAGCTTTAAAGCAATAATTCTTGTTTTCTAAACATGCTTTAAGCAGCCTGAAAAGAAAGAGGTTCAGCAAACTTAACTGCTAGTTTTTGGGGACAAGTATATCCAACATGGAAACAGAGAAGTTATTTCTCCTGTATACAATGCGATAGTTTGAATTTTACGTATCTCAGTCATCTTTTTTGGTGCAGTATTAGTCAAACTGCACACAGAAGGTCTTATTCAGAAGAAACATGTTGATTATCTGATAATCAATATGTAGTTAATAATACAAATCTAAGTTAGCACCACAAAGTCTTTCAGGTGCTTTTGCATATGAATCCAAACTCAGGATTCAGTCCAAAGGCTCTATAAGCAAAAGAAGCAACAAAACCCCAAAACACAACAAGGTGCAAGATACCCTGACTTAAGCAATTATTCACAGAATTTTAGACTCTTTGTGGAAGTCACAAGAGCAGCTTTTAGTAAGCCACGCCAAATTTTTTAGTTGTTCTTACACTCCCATCCATCCACGTACTATATGCATATACAAATACCCGTGCTGTATGTGTAAACACGTTCCTTGAAACCTGTAACCACAAGACACTCAAACGCTGCATTTTGCTGTTCATGAAAGGAACACCTGAAGATATTCTCTCACCTCCAAGACTAAAAGATCTGATTCAAGCTTGGAAACCTATTGCTCAAAACTCAGGCTTTCTTAGTGTTCTCCTCCACGGCACAGAATTTACAGAAATTTACAGAAAATCCCCTGTGGATGACTATTCTAACATCTTCCAGCTCCCTTATCCAGAAGGGAAACCGTTTCTGTCTTAAGTTGCCTGCATTTTTTTTTTTTTGCTTGCCTTTGTAAAAGCTACAGAGGGGGAAGAAAAAAAAATTAATCACCTCAACCAACCTAAAAAACAGCATGGGAAAAGCAAGTAAAAGACAGGTTAGCAGAGCATAAATTAACTACTCAGACCACCCGATGGTGCTTTGGAGGAAGCATATAGCATCTTGGGTATTATTTAAGCCCACTCCTAGACCAAACACATTAATATTGAAGATATTACAATAATCTAGTAGTTATATCCTCACGCATTTTGTTAGACAATACACTACAGCAATTTGTTCAAGTAAATATCAGATACCTCCTCAACATCATCAGATCTGGAAACTGCATTTAGTTTTCTTAAAAGTTTTTCCTTTTTAAAAGGAAAAGAAGGTGATCTGTACTAGATTTCATTTTGTGTCTTACGACTTTAAATATTCACTGCCTGTATGATCAATCTTCTGCCTCCACACTGATCTACCAGATACACTAGCTTGCCATAACTACATGCTTGGACAGCACAGAGGAACCACAAAAAAAATAATTACTGCATTAAGTCATCAAAAATAATAATCCATAGTTCTCAACACATGATAAAAAGATAGCTTTCCCAATTTTGAATTTCAAATCAGTTTGATAATTTCTAGATTACAATCTTATCACTACCTTTGTTGCTTTATTGCAGAAATGTGCTTTTATATTAATTCTGCCTTAAAAATATGATACACTAGTCAGCTAAAAGGAGCAATGTAAACAGGAGTAATAAAGTAATGAAAGACCATAAAGTACACTAAACCTTAGAAAATCATAAACATGCTATATTCAGTATGCTTTAATAAAATGGAATGCCATCTAATATTTTACTAAAGACATTTTTCTAAAAAAATAATCTGAAATATACCATAACTTCCTACAGACAATAATTTTCAGAGAATTTAGAACAAAAACTCTGAAAAATAAACAGAAGAATACACACGAAAACACTTACAAGAAGTCTGCTGAAAGGCTAGACCTAAGAACATATTTAAAATCCACAGCCTGTTTACTTACAGGCACCCTCTTGGAAACAGATAACGTACCTAGGAATAGCCTTTCACCAACTCTTTTCTTAAGTTACCACACTGTACTCTCAGATTTATTGCACCATTTCTTCCTCTAACTTAAAAATCACTGACTTCTGTCCATTACAGCAAGACAGAGCAGAATTCCCCATGCTCACTTCAAACACTATCTTTGACAAGTGCTTCCACCCCACAGACCATGTCCTTAAATGGAATTTTCTCCATTGTACCAGCCAACCTTAACGACCACTTTGTGAGCAATCAGGTAGGAGATAAAATAAGTAATAAATATTCCTCATCGTCCTCTCCAGACAACATTCGATTTAACTGCTCAAATTAACAATCAACATCTACTGATAATTCTTATTAAGCATGCAAATATGACGAGATAGTGTTCTGTATTCTTGTGTAAAACTACAAAAGCTTAATTCATTTGTTTTGATTTGTGAAGACTATGGACTTCAGGCCTTACCATCCCAAATATCCAAAAATACCAAATTCTACAATGCCTTTTTTCCTCTCAACACATGTTAGAGAAGGTAACTCCTGCAATCACCAAAAAAGGCCAACTTACTGAACAGAATCATAACGTACACCAGTTACTCTGGATTTAGACTCTTGCTTCCTTTACATTGTTGATATAGATTAAAAGTACTTACCAAACTCCCTAACCATGCAAAGTTCAAGCTGTCTGATATATGTGACAAACTCTTAAAAAATTGTCAGTGTTTGCCCCTTACTTTATCTATTAAATCTACGCACATTTTCTACAGTACCATTAGGGCCACCAAATTGAGGCTGCCAAATTGAGGCCGCATTTAGTAAGATTACCTCAGGAAAGCCTTTTTTGGACTGTTGTGCCAAGCCATACATATGTTTCACCTACTAATCAGACAATCATTTCTATGGTAATTGGGCTCTGCAGAAAAAAGCGCCAAAGAACAGTTCCAAGCCAACGCTAATTTTTTTTTTCACTCACTACCTGTCACTTCCAAACTAAGAAAAAGATCTTATCATGATATAACAAGGCAATCAAATGTTGGTGTTACTCTTTAGCAAACTGCCTATTCAGAAACATTACACCTTGGTGAAATTATACCTCAGATCATTTACGTTTCTTTGCCCTAAGACTTCTTTAGAAATTAACAAATAACACTAACACAATTAACACTAAGGAAGATGCTCATCACACTTCTCTCTTACTGTGTCTGCTTCCACAGTAGAGAAGCTGGAGCCAATAAGCCTTTCAGTAGAAAATTATTCCAATATAGTTCAGTTCAGCACTATGCTAAAAGGGAAAGAATAAAATATTTGTCGGTCCAGGTTCTTTCCCAGAATATCTCACCTTCTAAACTCTCTACCTTTTCGGCCTCATTTCCGTCGTCAAAACCTTGTAAAGGTCCTAGATCTTTGTCTGCTCTTTCCTTCTCTGAGGCCACCGAATCCCGACAAACACCATCAAATTCTTTTTCGTGATCTCTGTCCAGTTTCGTTTCACTGTGTTTTGTTGATTCTTTTTGAGAGGAGATGTCAAGAGTTCTGTCTCTCTCTCTTTCAGTAGTATCGGGTAGTTGTCTCTCTCTCTCTCTGTCCAGCTCCCGTCTTTTCTCCCTCTCCCTCTCTCGTTCTCTGAGTCTCTCTCGTTCCCTGCTCCTCGGCCAGTCTTTGTCAACATCTCGGTCCCAGTCTCTCTGTCTTCCCTCTCTCCTGTCTCTCTCTCGTTCGCGATCATGTTCATGTCGATCTCGGTCCTGAAGCCTTTCCCTGCTATCAAAGGACCCAGATCTGGAATGGACCTGACGATCTGATTCAGGAGAGCTTCTTCTTGAACTGTGGCTTCTTGAATCTTGACGATCTGAATAAAATATTTTAAATATATGCATGACTACAGCATGTAAATGTAATACCATTTTACTAGACCAAAGCATTTAAAAGATTCAGCTATGAAAATGTACTGCTCGAAAGCATCACCTTCAAATTAATAATGCTTTCAGACTGCCTGTAGATTTAACATTACTTAAAACCATAAGGCATTTCTCCCACTCCCAAAAAAGATTTTTAGTGACTACTTTCTACTATGACAGAAGCCAAACTGAAGGTACATCATTATAACTGAGAAATTGAGATGGGGGAGAGGGTTGAGGGAATAATCTCAAAATTCAAAATTTACAAAACATGTATTTTAAAAGCTAGAAACGCCTTGGCTAGCAAATGATAAATTCAGAAAAATAATTTCAGGTATGTTATAACCTTGACAAAAACAGAAAGTCAAAGTGCTTTAGGAGGAAGATGCTTTCCTATGATGCTGTTTAAATATTAAAGCATTTTACCTTTTTTTTTTTTTTTTTTTTCAAGGAAACACACAAATAAAACAAGTCAATATTTATTTATTTTCATTTGCAAAGATGATTTCTATATGCATTAAAAGTATGCCTAACAGGAACCACGACAGATTTACCTCAGTGAAAATAGCTCCTGAGATGATAATGGATCTCTATCCCAGAGAGAAGCGACAGTTTCATTTTGCATAGATTTCAGAATTTCCATCTCAAAATGAATGTTAATAACGAATTTAAGAACATTATTTAGATTATAAAGCACCTCAATGTTCTGTTAGCACAACCATTTTCTCTATGAGTTTTTTTTGGCCTACTTTATTCCCCAGGCAGCATGAAGTGAATCTAACTGAATGTTTTGGTGTAAACAAAGTAATAATCCTGCCCACTGAGGATCAGCTTTTTAAATATGGTAACACCTGCAGGAACCTCAATTCACTATTTTTACAGTGAACGGCAGAGAGCACCTCCCCCTCCCTTCACACTAATTACAAATGAAAAGAGTATACAGCCAGGAAAGAATGATCTGGGATTTGTACCTTCACACTTTTATACAGAATGATAGGTCAGTCTCACTAAAACACATCTTGTTACCTGAAGATGTGCTGCGACTGGGTTCCCCTCGTTTCAACTGATCAATTCTGGACTTGCGTTCCCCAGTGATTTCTAAGCTCTTCTTCTCTCTGTCCCTGTCCCTGTCCCTATCCCTGTCTCTAGAGCTACTGTGCAGGATCCTCTTCCGTCCAGTCTGGTCGTCTCCACTGCGATGAGCTGACTCATTGGAAGGGGATCTAAGTCTGCTTGAAGCATGGCTCCGATTGCTACCAAGGCTGCTGCTGCGCTTCTGATCCACAGGTTTACGGTGTGGGCCGTCATCTATCGTAACATGAGGAGCTTCCACCTTTTCTCCCCTTGTCCTGTGACTTTTTCTATGGGAGTCCTCATTGCTTCTCTCTGGAACAACAATGTCACCGCGTTCAGGAACATCTTCATCTGACCAGTCACTAAACGTTGTATCTTCTCTTTTTTGGGGGACTTCTGCCACAGCTTTCTGAGGTGGTGCTTCAACCAATTCTTCCTTTGTTACAGGGGGGGTTCTCGGGCCTTTCTTCTTTTTATGATGTGGAACAATTTCTTCATCAGAAACTTCAGAATCACCCTTGGACCTCTTCCGCTTTTTCTCTACGTTTTTCTTTTTTTGACCTTTCTTGGGCGAAAAGACCTGGCTTTCCTCAGTCGTCGATTCATTAGCGTACCTTTCCACCACACTGTCATCATCTTTCTTCTTCTTTGTGGCCTTTTTCTGTATTTTAGACTTCTTCTTGCTGTCATCATGCATTCTATCAGAAGCATCTCTTTCTTCAGAGGGGCGGTGTCCAAGATTTTCCTGAACCCTGGACCGGGAGCTTTCTGAAGTATCTGGTTGCTCTCTTTGTTTATCCGCTGAAGAAACCCTCTCTTTAAACTCTGGTTCTTCGTAACGCCGGGAACTTTCCTTTCTGTCTGATTTTCGCTCTTCTTCTTTCCAGCGACTCTGACGCTCCTCTGTAACATGAGAGGGGCTCAGTGACCGGGATTCCTGTGGCCGCACAACCTGGCTCAGAAGTCTGTGCTTTTCATCTACAAAATGGGAAAAACGATATACTTGTATTGTTTAGGAAGGAGAACAGGTGAACATTTGGTATCTTGTGCATGCCAAAAAGTGTCAATTAAAACATTATAATCTATTAATTCTGTTACATTTCCTAAGGTCTTCTGCTGCTGCAGCAGCAAAAGACTATTTCCATTTAGGTAAACACGCATCTTTAATGACAGATGCGGAAGCCACTATCACCTGGCAGACACAACACGTCTTGACAAGATGAAGATAAAAGACAAACATATAGTTTAAGAAAAAATTGTGTTGCTCATAAAAATAAGGGGAGGAGGATACTTACAAAAGCTTTCCCAATGTTTTTTTCTATTTAAATTTGAAAATTATTTTCCACAAGCAGTGGGTAAGCTGGATCCAGTTGCAGAGATAGCCCACTCCTACTTACTTTTATCATCTCCACTGTTGTAAGCATCACTGTCAGGAGAGTGCTCACGACGACGTTTGGGTGACTGACGAGGACTTGGACTGCTTTCATTTCTGTGGCGCTTCCTGCAGAACAAACATGTATGGTCAAATTTCTTCAGGATTCTTTAAAGAAAACCTTCATTAATTGAGTTTATCATCAATACAATCCCTGAAGTTTAAGAAGACAACATACAGAAGACAACACATCTAAGGACGCCAGGAAATTTTGTAGTTTTCTAAGTTGTTGTTCCAAAACTTCAAGTATGATCAGTTTTCTGATCATACTGTAAGATACCTTAAACTAAAACTCCAACACTTAAGACAACTATCTTTTCAACAAAAACTTATGAAAGACTATTAAGATCAAATTTTCCCTGTGGCAATAATCCTTGCAGTAAGTTGACTGCAGCTGGCAGCTAAGCCCCCACCTAGACGCTTGCTCACTTCTCCCCCAGCAGAATGGGGGAGAGTCCGTACTAGATGACTTATAGGTATCCACAATTCCCTCACATAAAAGCTACTAATTAATTCCAAGCAACACAGCCATTCAGGGCAACACTGTTTTGCTTATTATTGACAGAACAATGAGAATTTTATTGCACTAAATGAAAAAAAAAAGAAAGGTGAATCAGTGCCACACACTTGCAAAAGGAAGCACCACGCACTTACTCACGATATTGTTCACCCCTTCACTGACAGCCTTGTGGCACTGAAAATTTATTAGCACAAAGGGTAATGTATGTTCCACAGAAATTTAATGAACAAAGCCATGAACCATAACCTAGTTAGCTGCTGTCTGACTTTCCAGGCTTCAAAAGGTACCACAGTCTGCTATTATGTTTCACG